GGCTGGCCCGGCCCGGCCCGGCATGGGCCTAGGCCAAGCACGGCCCGTAGGTGGTCGTGCCGGTACGGCACGCCGTGCCTCTCATGTCGTGCCCCTCCAGGCGTTGTGCCTGGCCTTCGGCCCAAGCACGGCCCCACGGCCCGAAATTCATGCCGTGCTGGCCCGGGAAGCATGGCCAGAACTGCGGGCCGGCCCGGCCCAAAGCCCAGTGATCGTAAGTCACCTCAAAATTCTTCTCATCCAACAGTTAGCACAGATTCATTCATTCAAATTTCAAAATCTCAACTCACAAGTCAAGAACTTCTAAGTCACAAACTGTCAAACTGATCACAGATTCACAAACTGTCAAACTGATCACAAATTTTTCTCAGATTCTAACTTCTAAGTCAAGAACTAAGCAAACTCCAAAATTCTTCTCATTCTCATCCAACAGACCAACACTCAGCCACAAACTGGTCACACACAGATTCTAACTTCTAAGTCAAAAATTTAGCAAACTCCAAATGACCAAATCCAACAAAACAAAAGGCACCAAAAGAGATAAGATAAATGAACTGTTTGTGCAATGCTGCATCATTAAAAACCTTTCTAGGTAAAACTCATCCTTGTGAGAAACCCTAGAAAGAAAAAAAGAGTGCAGCACAGCTCTTAATAACTCTTCCATCATTGTTCAAAGGTCCCAAGTCACACTTGTCAGTCATAGATGAGAGATACAAAATGGAGATAACAGATTAACTACCAGCAGCCCTAGTCCTAGATGTACCAGCCCCAGGTGAACCAGCCCTAGATGAACCAGCAGCCCCATCTGCATCATCATCGAGGTACAAATTCTTGAAGGAGTCCTCTAGTTCTTGGTTGTCAACAGTATGTTGTAATCTGCTCTCTCCTAACTCTCAATCCTTTATGCAGGCCAGCATCTCCACCGTTTCAGGCAACAGGCGGCGTCGCCGCTCTTCGATTATCCTTCCTGTTAAGCTAAAACATGATTTGAAATAGACAGTAGAAACAGGAACATACATAATATCTCTAACCATTATAGATAGGATTTGATAGGTTAATTTGTGGTTACGCCACCACAGAAGTAAATCAAAATCATCCTCATATGCAGTGACATTGTCACTGTCCAGATAAACTGAGAGCTCATTAGCAGTAGAAGCAGATAAAGTGGGGGCACAGGCAGGGGAAGGACCAACAACAGATCCAGGGCCTTTAAAGATTCTTTCCCATGTCTATTTTCTCTTACCTGTATGGCTAGCAGGCTGTGCAACCCTTTGACTCCTAGCTGCACCAAACTTTCTCTCATATTTGTTAAATAACTTGTAAATTTTAGTTTTTACATCAGCATAATATAAAGTATAATCACAAGCAGTGCTCTCTTTAAGTAATTTCAGGACTCTAAATAAACCTCTCATCTTAGCTCTAAGATCAAGAATGAATACAAATAAATATAACAGAGGTATATGCTGCCAGTATTTAAGAAATTTAATCTTCATAGGATATACAACAACAATTAGATTTTGATCTTTTTCACTTGCATGTAAATAAGAAGCAATTTCTAGCAGATGATGCAGGATAAGTGGACTAGTTGGATAGTAAACACCAGAAAGAACAACAGTGGAGTCATAAAATAGTTCCAGAAACTCCAATATCTTTTCAGCTATATACTAATGCTTTACAGACAATAATTTAGAGCCATAATTGAAATTAATGAACACAGAAAAAACATGCTTATATAGAATCAAGTGTTTAAGCATAAGATATATAGCATTCCATCTAACATCCATATGTAAGCCAAACTTTCTAGGTCTAACACCCTGAGCAGTACAGTAATTCTTAAACATAGCAATTCTTTGATTAGAGAAATTTAAGAAGTTAATAGCAGTTCTAAAATCTTTTATGTAAGCTTTGAACCTCTTTAAACTAGATTTTACAATCAGATTAATGATATGACAAGCACAACATTGATGTATAATACTGTACTTACGCTTAGAAGGATCAATAGGCTCAGGTGTAGGATCAGGACCCAAATAACCAGCAAACATAGGTGTCAAAGTTTCCAAAACCTTAGCATTAGAAGAAGCATTGTCTAGAGTTACAGAGAAAACCTTATCAATGAGACCAAACTCCTCAACCACACAAGTAACTCTTTTAGCAATTTTTTCACCAGTATGTTTTACCTCAATCAATCTAAGCCCAATAACCTTTTTCTATAACTCCCAATCAGCACTAACAAAATGAGCAACAACGCTAATGTAATCCCCCTTAGCATTACCAGACCATATGTCTGATGTCAGCGCAACAGAGGAAGCAGCAGACAACACAGAATTCTTAAGCATATTATGACGTTCAATAAATAGTTTACTCAGATCTCTAGTGGTGCTCTGTCTAGATACTTTAACAAACCTAGGGTTATGAGCACGGACAATGTAATCCTTCCAAACCTCTGTCTCACCAATACCTAACGGCAAATCAAGCCTAGCAATCAAGCGACACAATTATGATCTAGCAACATCAAGTTTATAGTCTCAGTTATGCACAGAACCATCAGCATTGTAAGCAAGCCTAGACTGAACCCTAATAGCTTGATCAGTTTTCTACCTATAAGATTTCTGGTGCCTCTTCAAGTGCCCAGTGCTAGTATTAGATCTAGTAGACAAAGTATGCTTACACATTTTACAAGTAGCTTTAGTGTAGATTTTCCTACCATTCACAGTCTCATAGATTTCATCAAAATCAGCCCACACAGCAGATTTATGCTTACCAACAACAGTTCCAGAAGAGGTACCAGTACCAGCAACAGATGGAGTTGAGCTGTTGGAGCAAACCGGGGTCCCAGTCGTCGTCGCCCCTTCACCACCGCCGCCGTCCAGACCGAAGAAGGCAGCAGCGTCCTCTTGGGTGTCATCGTCGTCCTCAGGTGCCAGGCCTGCCGCGATGAGATCATCGTTGCCAGTGAGCGGCCAGACGATCTTGTAATCAGCACTAGCCATGGCGCCCTCGACCGTAGAGGGCTCTCCAGCACCGTTCCTCAACGGTGCGCGGGGCCGCCTTGGCCGCTCTATGCCACAGCTAGAGGACGACGCATCGACTACCGACCTGCGTAAAGACATGGAGGACGAGGAAAACAGTATATCAGAATAGATCATAAACCATTCATCAATGGAAGAAGAGGAGGGTTAGGGTTAGGATTAGGGTTAGGGTTAGGGGTACCTGTGCAACCGGAGTTCGGTGCCGGAGAAGACGAGGAACACCCAGAGAAGACGACAGTAAGGTTAGAAGGACGGCGAGCGGCGGAGGAGGGGCACACGGGGACACGAACTCACATAATTAACCAGATCTAGAGGGGAGATAGGGATAGGGAGAAGGGAGAGGCGGAGAGGGAGCAGGGAGGGGATCAGGTAGGACTTAGGAGTAGTAGGGAGCTGCTCGCCGGCGACAGGCGGGTTAGGGTTAGGGATGTACCTGCGCAACCGGAGCCCGGTGCCGGAGAAGACGAGGGCCACCCAGAGAAGACGACACACCGGTTAGAAGGACGGCGAGCGACGGAGGAGGGGCAGACGGGGACACGAACTCACATAGTCACCGAGATCTAGAGGGGAGATAGGGATAGGAAGAAGGGAGAGGCGGAGAGGGAGAAGGGAGGGGATCAGGTAGGAGGAGTAGGGAGCTGCTCACTGGCGGCAGGCGGATCGTCGAGGTCACCTCATCGGAGTCGGGAAGGATGAAGCCGAGAGCGAGACTACGAGGGCGAGACCCGAGAGCGAGGCTAGGCGAGAGCCACGAGACGAGAGCGAGGTGAGGCGAGCGAGTGAAATGAGCTAGGGTTTGGGTGTGAGCCGCCGCGGCCGCGGCGTGCATTTATATATGAGGAGGGGGGAGGCGGGGATGGACGGATGCTAGGCCACGCTGGGCCGCGGGGAGGTCGGGAGGGGAGGAGTGGAGTGAGGAGGGGGACGGGGGTGGCCGGGCCGTGCCGTGCCAGCCCACGGGCCTGAGCAGCGGCCCAGACACGGCCTACTCCCTCGGGCCGGGCTAGGCTAGGCCCGCATGTCACCGGGTCATGTCGGGCTAAAAAAGTGGGCTTCGTATCGTGCCGTCGTGCCTCAGTCAGCATGAACATTTATAGCTGTGGCCCATGGCTAAACGGACGGACGGATGCAGGAGACTGAAGACCCAAGACCTGCGCTTCAAGTCAACTCGGCGACGGGTGCATTCAGTTCTGTCACGGCCTCGCGGGGAGCCGGGGACACCACACTCGGTGTCCATGCAAACTATGGCAGTGACAGTACAATCCATGCACCGGCAAGTTCGAGCTTCCCGGAAGCTTAGTTGTGTACGATACGATACAATCCCTCTCACACACACACATTAGTACGATCACTTTCGAGCTTGGAGTAACCAAGCGCCACCGCTGTACGCAGTAACGATATCAGTATCACTTTCTCGATCGCTTCCACTGGCAACAGTGCCGCCAGCGCCACAAGTCACTAAAAGTCAGTCAAGACGCCACAGCCATGCACGCTGCCGATCGGATCGGACGACGACCGGCCCAGGGCGTCCAGCCCACCGGAAGCGGACGAAGACCCGGAAAATTCGAAAAGTCGTCGCGGCCACCGGTGGGCGCGGGAACCCATGCTGTAACGACAAGCTGCAGCAGCGCACATGTTCATGTCCATTTTCCATGCCAAGCAAGCAAGACCCTCATTAGTTCCACTTCGTTTTGCCAAATTTTTCAAGATTCCCCGTCATATCGAATCTTTGGACGCATGCACGAAGCATTAAATATAAATAAAAAATAAAACTAATTACACAGTTTAGACAAAATCCACGAGACAAATCTTTTAAGCCTAATTAGACTATGATTGGACACTAATTGCCAAATAACAACGAAAACTGATACAGTGTCATTTTGCAAAAAAAAAAATCGCATCTAAACTGGCCCCAAATTCATCGACCGGGTAAATCAGTTGACAATCAGTTGACGGCACTGACGCACAGTACTACATCCTGCTGCTGCTGCTGGCGCCCTTGTGGGTTGGCCCCATCTCCTTGGCGAGGTTTCGGAGCACGTACTTCTGGATCTTCCCGGTGGAGGTTTTGGGCAGCTCGGCGCGGAGCACCACCGTCTTGGGCACCATGTAGTGCGGCATGCGCTCCCGGCACCACGCGATGACATCCGCCGCGGTCACCGCGCCCGGCGCCCCCGACCCCGACCCCTCCTTGAGGCTCACGAACGCGCACGGCGTCTCGCCCCAGAACTCGTCCGGCCGCGCCACCACCGCCGCCTCGTTCACCGCCGGGTGGTTGTAGAGCACGGACTCCACCTCCACGCTGCTGATGTTCTCCCCGCCGCTAATGATCACGTCCTTGACCGGTCCCGGATCTCCATGTACCCGTCCGGGTGCATCACGCCGACGTCCCCGGTGTAGAACCACCCGTTGTCCCGTATCGCCGCCCTGGTGGCGCTGTCATCGTTGAGGTAGCCGAGCATGACGCACCCGCCGCGGAGCACGATCTCGCCCATCGTGGACCCGTCGCGGGGCACGCTGCGGCCGGTCTCGCCGTCGACGATGTCGACCTCGGCCATGCCGGGCGTGCGCACGCCCTGCCTCGCCTTCAGCCGCGCGCGCTCCGACGCGGGCAGCTTGTTCCACTCCCCTTCCACGCGCAGCTCACCACCAGCCCGCCGTCTCGGTCAGCCCGTACCCGTGGGTGACCTCGAAGCCGATGGACTCGGTGCGGTGCAGCACGGCGGCCGGCGGCGGCGCGCCGGCAGTGAGGATGCGCACCTTCCCCTGGAGCGGCCGCCGCGCGGCGTCCGGGGCGTTGGCCAGCATGTTGAGCACGACGGGCGCGCCGCAGAGGTGGTCGACCCCGCGCCGCGCGATGGTGGCGTACACCTCGGCGGCGTCGACGCGGCGCAGGCACACGTTGGTGCCGCCCACCGCCGCCATCCCCCACGGGAAGCACCACCCGTTGGCGTGGAACATGGGCAGCGTCCACAGGTATGTCGGCTGCTTCGGCACCGCCCATTCCACCAGCGTGTCGACGGTGACAAGGAAGATGCCGCGGTGGCAGTGCACCACGCCCTTGGGCGCCGACGTCGTGCCGGAGGTGTAGTTCAGTATCATCGGGTCCCACTCGCTGCGCGGCCGCACCCACGCGAACTCCGGGTCGCCCCCGTCGAGGAGCGCCTCGTATGTCAGCGTCCCGGGCGGCGCCGCGGGGAACTCCTTCTCCTGCGGGTCCTCCACGGGGACGACGCGCGGCGCCCGGTGCCCCGGCGGGAGCTGCCTCAGCGCGTCCCGGACGAGCGGCAGGCTCGCCGGGTCGGCGAAGATGAGCTTGGAGCCGGCGTGGCGGAGCAGGACGGCGACCGTGCGCGCGTCCAGGCGCGTATTGATGGTGTTGAACACGGCGCCGCTCATGGGCACCCCGAAGTGCATCTCGTACATGGCCGGCACGTTGGGCAGCAGCACGGACACCTACATCGGTCGACGGAATCCCACCGATAGATTCGCCAAGAGAGCAGAGCGCGGTGTCATCAGTTGCCACTTGCCACAGCAGATGGGACGGGAGCCCATCCGCGGGAATTATTGATGAGCGAGACAGGGGAACGGGCGGCTTACGATGTCGCCGCGGGAGACGCCGAGGGAGACTAGCGCGGAGGCGAGGCGGAGGCAGCGCCGGTGCGTCTGGGACCAGGTGTAGACGGTGTCGTGGTAGACGACGGAGGGGCAGTCCCCGAACACGGTGGCCGTGCGCTCCAGGAAGCCCAGCGGCGTGAGCGGGCAGGAGTTGGCCGGGTTCGCGCCGAGCCTGTCCATGCCGCCCGCTCGCGTTGGTCGCCGGGGGCAGGCCTGGCTGTTGCGTGCGCGGAGACGGCCTCCTCACCGGTCAAGCTCGCGGAGTGGTGGTTGCCCTTGCACGCTGAACGCCGAGGCGGAGGCGGAGGCTGAGCAAGGCACGGAGGCAGAGGTTCTTGTATCATTGAGAGGCAGAGGCCAGGTGGTTGCTGGCTGAGGCGGCTTCTCCTGCAAACCGGCTGCACGATGGGGAGCCGACGGCCAGGATCGAGTGCAGCGGTGCAGGTGGAAGAGTAAAATAATCTGGATTCGAGAGACCAGCGAGGTCGGTCAGTCAGCGCGTGTTTAGGTGGCTGAATTTTGTAATTTGGGCCAGGGCAGTATTTTCGTTTTTATTTAGCAATTAGTGTTTAATTATGAATTAATTAGGTTCAAAACAGTTGTCTTGTAATTTTTAACCAAACTATGTAATTAGTTTTTTTCGTCTATATTTAATACTCCATGCACGTATCGCAAGATTCGATGTGATTAATACTGTAGCACTTTTTGGGAAAAGTTTTTGGAACTAATCAAGCGCTCGGTAGTAATTGTCAGTCAGAAGATGCTAATCTATGACGGGGATTGAAAAATGCGATACCATTTTGTCTCGCCTCGCCTCTGAATTTTCTGAGGCTGATTCAGTCAGAGCAGCATGTTTTTTCTTTTTTCATTCAAAGGGGAGCAGCATGTTTTTTTTTTTTTTTCATTCAAAGGGGAGCAGCATGTTTTTTTTTTCATTCAAAGGGGAGCAGCAATGAAAGTCGTTGTAGGATAATAACAGCACAGCAGTAGCTGACCAAGAGGCCAACCAGTCACCAGGCTGTCATGGCGTCACAAAAGAATCTCTGCATCGAACCCATCGAACAAAACGTACTCAATTTCGCTTCTATGTGCACTAAGGGATAAATTTTTTTAATTTTTGTCCTTGACTATACATGTATATGATTTTTTTTTTCATTTTTGTATTTTTTTTAGAAATGATTTTTGCATACCAACTCTTGTATGTGATTCCATATACGTATACACTATATATGTGCCAAGTTTCGAAATTCCTAGAGTTTATAATTTAAAATTTAGTTTTACTTTTTTCACCGAAGGTGCTGTGGTTTTCGTCGTATATCTTTTTCCCTCCCATGATGCAGCGTGAATTGGAGGTTGGAGCACTGCCACTTCACTGTAGAGAGTGAAAGCATGGGTTTTGATTCTTCCATGGTATCTTTTGTATTACTGTAGTAGTCAAAATTATTATGTTCTAGTATATAAGGGTCTATTTGGAATGCTCCTAAAGCAACTTTAAGATGAATCCAGAGGACCTCTCCCAAATATTTTTTCTATTAAAAATGATTCTACGCTGATTATGTGAAGTGATTCTTTGAAATGAATTAGGAGGCCAGGAGCTGGAAAAATAGCTTCTCCTAATTTACTCCACACACGAGTCATTGTATGTATAGAATTTACCTTAAAGAATCATAGAGGAAACATCTTTAGTCAGATAAACAACTTTCACAAAGAATTTGAAACAGAAGAAACTCTACCAAATATGTCCGAATTGTTCTAAAGATGAAAAGTTCCTAAGTTTAAAATGAGATAAAATGTTTTAACCTTTGAGGTACTATCTACCTTGAGACTACCATCTTTTGGGGGCCATAAGAACAAAATTTTAGAAGAACAAAAAAAAAGATTTCCTTATTTGTCTTTATTCTGCACCGCAAGGTTTTCAAAGTGTAACCTTTTCAAAACCAATGGACGTCGGAAGCAATGCCCACATATAGTATGGACATCACTAAATAGCATATCCTATACATAGTCATAATGACCTTTCCTTTAGCTTTTCGGCATTGGCAGCTCGTGTTATTGTGCTGGTATATTTTTGTATTATTTTAGTAGTGAAAATTTCCAATTTAAATGAATAATGAACTGCTAATAAACTATATAGTTAAATGTGTGCAAAGTGAACACCAACAACGAGTATCTAATTTGCAATGTCATTTGGAAAAAATAGAGAAATTTGACAATTTAGATTGGATAGTAGACAATAATTATATGAATTTTTTTTGTGAGGGTATGGATTATACACAAAAACTATGTGGATGAGGCACCAACAAATTGTTGGTAGCGAGTACCAACACAGGCAAAACAAGATTTCTTAACAAGTAAATTATGGTGCACTTGGTCAATAATGCGATTTCTTCTTAACAAGCATAACAAGATTCCTTAACAAGTTTTTTTTTCAGTTTTTATAGATCGTACAATGCTGATAGGGGGGCTAGAACAAATAAATTGTTGTTTTTATGGTTTATTTAGGTGGCAGCACCGTCCAGGTTTAGGAGCATTGTGGTGCAATTGTCAAAAGTAATAAATGGCTTAAATTTTGTAACTGAATGCATTATTTTGGCCGGTAAGGCATCAACGTTAAATGAGCCATATCCATATTGTCAACCTCTTGGTTCCAAGATTTCTTGACATTCATTATTTCCTTACTTCAGATTGTAGCCTATCTATCTATACTATAAAAGAGCGAAGAAATTGAGAAATACTTGTTACCCAAAAGTTTCTTACTCATCTTACCTGAGAACCATTGGATGACTTGGGTCTTTAAATCTAATGGTACTAATTAATCTTACCGTGGGGCCATAAGATGTCTTACACACGATCTTACGTTCCTGCCACTCAATCCTGTGTCTGCCACCCTCCCCACGGTGTTTTTTTTTTCACCAGCGATTTGTTTACCCGCGCACGCGTTCCCACGGGGCACGGTCCATGGTGCGGTTACGATGCCTCCCTTCCTTCCGCAACCGTGGAATCGGTGCCTCGCTCCCTTCAACCCACCACCGTCGGCGGCGCCCTTTAACGAGCCGGCGCTGCCTGCTTTGCTTCCTCCAGCAGGCGACTCTCTCCCTCCGAGGCGGCAGCGGCGGTGCGTGGGTCTCTTCCTCCAGGCCGGCGGCACTCACGCGCCCTATTCCTGCCCTCGCCCCTCGGCTGCACATCATCCTTATCTCCGGCCACAGGTGCAAGCATACACTACAGCAGGGGACATGATCTCTTCCGTCTTGCTATCTACTGGTAGATGTCGGCTTCTCCCCATGCTTCATCCCCATGTGCTCTCTCAGATCCATTAATTTGATAATGACTAATCTGACTATAATTTCATGGAAGGAGTTCACTAAGATTGATAACCATAGACATATTTACATTGGTCTGAGAATCTAAGTAGATTTTGAGTGTTGCGGTAGCAGTAGTGGGATTTAAGTCATTCTGTTTGCTTTGTAGTCAGGCAATACGTTCATCAGTGTCTCACTTCTGCTTTTATGACCTGCCAGTCAATACATACATATTCGAACCGAAAAAGGTGAAAATTGCCTCCTTTCCGACTTATAGAATTTCCAAGGTGGCTGTGCATACACAATATCTACCTAAAAATTGAGACAAGTACCGCCACTTCGTTACTGGGAATGGTTTTGCACTTATAGGGAAATTTCACTTTTATTATGTTTTGTTTAGGTAATTATCTCACTGAAAGAGCAATAGTAGATTGATCATCGATAAATCATTAGAAAACAGAACAAACTAACATCAATTTTCAGTTTTGAGTTCCTGAATCTGAATTGCACTACTGAACGGTATTTTCTCCCACGTGCCACTTTTTTTTATAGGCCTTGAAAGGTTCACAGAGAAAATGTAATTAACCATTCACCTACCTCATAGAAAAATTCTGATTTCCTGTCGGTCAATATACAGTATACTCAGGGCGGTATACAGCTGAGATACTAGAATTATGTCCTTTGGCACTGAATGATTTAGAATAATTGTACATCCTGCCCATCCAATGCAATATTTCAAATTGATTTGGCTATTGAACTTTCATATTTTTCCAAGGCGACGACGGCGCTGGATCCCGATCTCCACCAGTAGCAACAATGACGGCAGCTGGATCTGCAATGGTGGTGTTATTGAACCTCCGATGGTTAGTTATTTTCCCCTACAATCTAGATTAATATCATTGACGGTTATTCGATCTGTCTTTTTGTCCAATCTCTTTCAATTTACACTCGGTTTACTTAGATGGACATAACCCAGATTGATGTTACACTATTGACCAAAAATAAAGTTGAATCCGTTACCTATGGCCCTGTTCGCTTATCTTATAATACGTCTTTTTTAGCTTGTTTTTTCATCCGGAACAGTATTTTTCTCTCACAATAAATCAGCCGAAACAGTGTTTCGGCTTGTTTTTTCAGCGAAGCGAACGGGGTCTATATTTTTATATAATATGTCACCACTTTAACTATTACAGCGGTATATTATAGAATTGCTAAGGAAAAAGTGGCGTCCTTTAGCCTAAATAAGAAATCACTGGATGTCCTATTGAACTGCGTCAGATTACATATCATATAAAAATACGTATTTGTATTTGGGACTGGTGATTGGTCAGACGTTAAGAAAACTGTCAAATTACTATTTTCATTTTGTGCCGTAATTGACATCAATTTTAGCATTGAACTTTAATGTCAAAAACGTGGGTGCTTAGTTTATGCTATTTTCTCTTTCGACAAGCAATCATGGATATCAAGTGCAAAGTCACAGGTACATATGTTACTATTTTAACTTCCTTTAGCATGGATTTCAATATCAGGATTAATTCCAACCACTTGCTACAAATATTATATTTTCCGAGTTTGGCAGCCTTTATCAGTATTCTTTTTGGCCTCTGAAGTCTTCAGTGTCAGGTGGTGTACAGAATCATTTATGCTTTGAAACCATCGTGCTTAGCTGCTGTAGTTTTTACTATTTTTCTTAATTTAATCACCGATTTCTGTACATATAAATGCTCCTACAATTTCTTTGTAGATCATCTGAAGTTTTACTTTGTCTGCAGATTTGCTGGAGCCACAGGGTTCCAGAACAATGGTCATTAACATATTGTTTTGGCAGAAATAGGATTCACTTGTGTTGTGTTTTTCATTTGTGTTGTTCAATGC